GGGGGGGTTGATAAATGTGACGTCACATCAAAATGCGCAACTTTAAATGAATATAGACAACACGTTCTACTTAATTAAATAGACTTTTTAATAAATGTTTTCTCCTACAACATCAGAGTGCAGCGCCACATTAAATACGCACTAAAATGACAATAGGTTAAAGCGATTTGAAGTATGTTTTATTTTCAAAATGGAAATATGGTTTGGGGGGGGGGGCAGAGCTTTGTGACGTCACATTTGAGGGGGGTCTGACTTTTTGTGGAGCCGTGTGACGTCATTTATGGACGGCCCCTTCGGGTGGCAGCAGAATATTCATCCACTTTACCTGGTTCATTTGAAAACGTGGGAGCAATTAAAACTTAACGACAACAACAACAACAAAATGAGTCTCGTGGCACGAATTGCATTTAGTATTTTATTACAAACACAAAACACCGTTAATCATATTAAGACAGATGAAACAAATTGTAACAAAAAAAGAAACAGCTTCAGAAAATATTTACGCTTATACACAAATAAAGTTAAGCGTGTACGTGTCTTGCTCGCCGACCATTTAACAAAAGAATAATAATACTCTGTGGGATTCAGAGTTTCACATTTAGTGCTGTTGACATGGGCCAGGCAGTCCCGGATTATCCTAGTAGCACAAGTAGCTACATATGTAGTAGCTACTACACTACACATGTAGTGTAGTAGCTGGTACATATATAGTAGCTACTACTACACATGTAGTGTAGTAGCTGCTACATATGTAATAGCTACTACTACAAATGTAGTGTAGTAGCTACTACATATGTAGTAGCTACTACACTACACATGTAGTGTAGTAGCTGCTACATATGTAGTAGCTACTACTACACATGTAGTGTAGTAGTAGCTAGCTACTACACATATAGTGTAGTAGCAGCTACATATGTAGTAGCTACGACACATATAGTGTAGTAGTAGCTACATATGTAGTAGCTACTACACATGTAGTGTAGTAGTAGCTACATATGTAGTATCTACTACACATGTAGTGTAGTAGTAGCTACATATGTAGTAGCTACTACACATGTAGTGTAGTAGTAGCTACATATGTAGTAGCTACTACTACACATGTAGTGTAGTAGTAGCTACTACACATGTAGTGTAGTAGTAGCTACATTTGTAGTAGCTACTATTACACATGTAGTGTAGTAGTAGCTACTACTACACATGTAGTGTAGTAGTATCTACGGGCCCCGCACTCTCAAGGGCCCCGCGCTCAATTATTTCAAGCGATCAATTCCGGTTCAGTGATTCTGCACTTGCTCTATTACTACAGCACTATACCGCCTTCAACTTTTACGAACGACTACGTGTTTAAGGTTAGCGATTCGTCGTATTATCTGTCTGTGTAGCAAATGAAAAAATACAATTACTTTACTATGCAAGTTAAACATTTAAGTTTTAATATTTGAGTGGGTTTTTTTTTATTCAGATCCCCTTTATAACATGTGGTAGCTTAATCTGTGACCGTGACTCTGGCAGGTCAAGGGAAGTTTTTCACTTTGCACGCTCAAGGCGTTGACTGAAGCGCAGACACTGAACGATTACGAACAATCCCCCCCACCCCCCGACCGATTCCATTAATTTTAACGAATCCGGATCATCACGACAGGATTCACAAATCGATTTTTCTTTTTTAAACCCAGCCGTGTTCGGCTTATCCGGTCGCACGTCGCTCCCCACGGAATCGTGAAGAACCGATCCCTACAATGTACAGAAACCAATTACTACAATGTATAGAATCGATTACTGCAACGTAATTGATCGATTCCTACAACGTAACAATTCACGCGACGTAAATAATCGGTTCCTATAACTTAAAGAAGCGATTCAGACAACGTAAAACAATGATTCCGACAACGTAAAGAACCGATTCGTACAACGTAAAGAATCGATTCGTACAACTTAAAAAACCGACTCCTACTACACCGTGTTGCAAGTGGCACGCACGCGCAAGAAAGGCGTTTATGGATGCCCTTCATGAAGTCGCCCCATCGTCGAATGCCAACTTGTCCGCACGTCGCAGCGAGAGACGTATCCCGTCAGCCTCCACCGCAGCATCGCGAACAATGAGAGGGTTGGCTGCAGAAGTTTTGCCAAAGCTCCCCATGAAAGTCCCCCACACGTGCCATTTGCGCTCGGAGCCCGTCCTTTTGGAGACAACCAACAAGGACACGGGCAGCCGCAGAGAGAGAGGGGGGCCCGGGAGCTCTCGAGAGCTCCAGGCCCAGGCCTTCCCCCCACCCCCAGAACTTTGAGGGCCATACCACCAGTGGCGTGGTGTGGAAACTTCGTTACTTACAAACATTCGACTTACGAACTTTCAGAGATACGAACAAACCTGGTCCGTACGTCCAATTTTGCCTGGTCGGACCGAGAGTCGTAAGTTCAACCGCCGCGCAATAAATGGCGGCGGTTGCATCTACATCTGCAGAACGGGAAGAACCAGTGACATCTACATCTACACAACGTGAAGAACCAGTGCCATCTACATCTGTAGAACATGAAGAACCAGTGGCATCTACATCTACAGAACATGAAGAACCAGTAGCATCTACATCTGCAGAACGTGAAGAACCAGTGGCATCTACATCTGCAGAACGTGAAGAACCAGTGGCATCTACATCTGCAGAACGTGAAGAACCAGTGGCATCTACATCTACAGGAGATGATACAACCTTCCCCGTGTTTAGTGTACACGTCGTACAACTTGTTTGGAATTGACAGGAGTAAAGTTGTACTTAGGGACAAATCGACTTGCGAACAGACCTCTGGAACCTAACTCGTTCGTAAGTAGAGGAGTCCCTGTACATACAAGGTGGTCTCCGCTTTATGACTGTCGTTATATTATGTCACTATAGATCGATTTACGACGTGTTTTCCGACACATTTGAACAGTCAGTCTGCTTTCCGGCGTGACTTGGCGTGGTGGGGTTATGTCATTCCTAAGTGGGTTTTTTTCGTGTGTGGATTTGTATCCATTTAAACCCTGTTAAATGTGACTCGTAAAAGGAAAATCACATCTGCAAGTGATGTTTATACTGTTTCTATGGGAAAATGGGGTCCGATTTACGATGATCTGGAATTAAATAAGTGCCTGTTACATGCACTTATTTAAAATTACTTATGAAAGTCAAAGTGATTTCCTGCTCAAATGAGAATTAGGGCAATGCTCATCTTCTGCTGAGAACCCGTCACCCCCTTCCCACCCCCCACCCCCCCCCCCCGAGCCACATTCCCATGGCAGGGGGCGAGTCTCTATACATGACAAACCACGGTCGACTTCCCCACAAAGTGGAACTGATTTTCGTCCATTCCGGAAGGGACGACCGCCCCAGGCACCGCTCTTTGGGGGGAGGGGGGAGGCTGCGCTTCCATGTCACGCTGTCAGATCTAATACTACTGCTTTAAATTGAAAGCGTATTGGGGGGACCGGGGGGGGGGGGGTAGGGGGGCCCACACGGTGTGACTTGCCCTGGGCCCCCCGCACCCCCCACCTATGGAGGGCACATGCAAAAAGGACCGTAAAAAAGCCGACTCGCTTTCAACCTGCACATCGCGCAACGCAACAAGCAAACTGAACTGGAGCAAGTGGCACCATTATCGCCCCCACCACGCCCACCACCACCCCCCACCCCACCCCCACAATGAGATCAGCCTCTCGTCTCAACACTGCTGAGGGTAACTCGGCAATCCCATAGGAGCCAGCGTGCGTTGACAATAAGCACGCGCGGGTTTTTAGTGGCGCCGTTCCCGCAAGCACGTGGGCGACTATCTCGGGGCCGCTGCGGCGTGCGTGCTACGCTTCGCGTGACGTCGCCGGCTCTCCAGCGGCCCTGCGGAGTTGACCCGACGGTGGAAAGTGGCGAGGCCGCGACCGGCAGGCGAGTCCCACGCAGATGGGGACCGGGGCAAGGCGCAAGCCCGATCGCGGCGAAGGTCCACGTCTCTGGGACGTTCGGGTCGCACCCCACCACCGCCCCCACCCCCCCGACCCGGCCCCCGTGCTTCTTCCGTCGTCTTGCGGCAGAGAAGCCAGCGGCGGTTCCGTCGGCAGCGATTTTGTGCCGTTCGGCTGCGTCGTCCCGAGAGCCGGTGGCCGATTGCGGATGCAAAAGACAAAGACGCACGCACACGCACGCACACGCACGCACGCACACGCGCGCGCACAAAGTCCGCCGTTTCAGGGGAAGTGCGAGGTGATTTTTTGGTCCGCCGTTTTGGAGTTGGTAGCCGCGTTCGGTCGAGTGGCATCCTCGGCGCTCTTCCGTACCGCTGCGTCCGCGGCGAGTCGTTGCCGTGAACGTCGACTTCGCCGTTGGTCCCTCCACCCAACGCGTCGCCTCATCCGCACTGCGCTCGACCGCCACGTGCCAGGTCACGACACTTCTTTCTTCCCCTCGCGCCGCTCAAGATCTGCGATTCCTCCTCGCCCAACCACCCCCCCCCCCCCCCCACCTGCCATCGTCTCTTTTCCATTATGGCCTTGCTCATTTCAAGAAACGCGCAAATTATTTCCTACCACCGCTCCGATAGAGTGCCGTTTGACGTTTCAGCAGCTTCGGGGGGGGGGGGGGGGGGGGGGGGGGGGGGGGGGGGGGGGGGGGGGCGGGGGGGGGTCTCAACAACCGCATTCAACAAAAAAACAACGAAAAGTCGCCACGCAGGACAGTCTCTTTGTGATTTCTCACTTTTGTGCTTTAGCTATCCCCGCCGACCGGACGAGGTGGACCACGACTGCCGTCGGTGGGCGTTTTTTTAAGGGGTCGACGCAGTCTGCCGCTAGGGCTGGGCGGGGGGAGGGGTAGGGACGATGGGGAGACACAGACAGCGCCCGCTGCCTTTTGCCGTTTGTCGCTGCTGCTGCTGTTGTTGTTGTTGTTGTCGATGGTGGTGGTGGCGTTAGGTGCTCGCTACTAACAGCGCTTGCCCTAACAGCCTGTTAAAGCCTCTATAGGGGGGGCGGGCGGGCGGGCGGGGGAGGCGGGGGACGGGAAATCTTCGTGCGTCTTTGACGTCGGTGCTGTTGGACCGTGGCGCCGTTCAGCTGCACTTGCAGGAGCGCACGATCATGTTGGAGAGCTGCTCGACGCGCGACTCGCGCCCCACGTAGTAGAGGATCGTGAGCGGCTCGAGCTCCTGAGGGACGCAGCAGGGGGAGGCCGACGCGTCGGGGTTGCGCAGGCTGTACAGGCCCAGCACCTGCGCGCGGTTACCGACGACGACATGCGACAAAATAAGGTGCACGCACAGAGCGGCGTCTTCCGCGTGGCCAGCATCTTCCGCTCAGAATGCCTCACCTCTCTCATCTCTACATCGCTATACGTCTGCAAATTGCAGGATTGGTGGGTCCCGTTCACAGGCTCAGCGTTAATTTCACTTAGCGAGGCGTAGCGCCATTGTTTTTAAAGACATTGTACTCACCGCAGACAACTGTAGTGACACGACCGCCGTACCCTATGATAGCTGGCGCCAAACTGCGCCACACGCCCTCCTACATGGCCTTGTGGGAGCTTCGAGACCATTAAAAAAAACTAATTTTCCGAAGAAAAACTGATGACGGGTTAACCCTGGAAGTGAAAGGGTTAACCCTGGATGTTAAAGGGTTAACCCTGGATGTTAAAGGGTTAACCCTGGATGTGAAAGGTTTAACCCTGGATGTTAAAGGGTTAACACTGGATGTGGAAGGGTTAACCCTGGAAGTGAAAGGGTTAACCCTGGAAGCGAAAAGGTTAACCCTGGAAGTGAAAGGGTTAACCCTGGATGTTAAAGAGTTAACCCTGGAAGTTAAAGAGTTAACCCTGGATGTTAAAGGGTTAACCCTGGAAGTGAAAGGGTTAACCCTGGATGTGAAAGGGTTAACCCTGGAAGTGAAAAGGTTAACCCTGGATGTTAAAAGGTTATCCCTGGAAGTGAAAAGGTTAACCCTGGATGTGAAAGGGTTAACCCTGGAAGTGAAAAGGTTAACCCTGGATGTTAAAAGGTTATCCCTGGAAGTGAAAAGGTTAACCCTGGAAGTGAAAGGGTTAACCCTGGAAGTGAAAAGGTTAACCCTGGATGTGAAAGGCTTCAGGCTATATTGGTTGGGTGGGGATCTTTGTTTTTAGTGAGTGCTGCAACTCGCCTTGGTGTACTGCGTGTTGTAGCTCCACAAGTAGGGGCAGGGCCCGGCACACATGTTGGCGTGGTATCCCTTGGGCTCGTGAATCCACCTCCAGCCGAGGTCGCGCCGAAAGTCGATGTACAGCTTCCTCAGGCAACAGTTGTCCTCCTGATTGCTGGTGCCAAGAGATCGCGCGCACGGGAGAGAGAGACTCTTTAGCGTTATTGTTGCCTTCACCGACTTCGCAAGCAGAATAATCGTAACCTTAAGATTTTTCCTCCTGGGGGAATCTGATGAGCTACTAAGCTTTTTTTTGTTCACAGATGTCTAGTAGGGGCACGGGGTCAGAAAGTGACGACAAACAACAACACAGCCACCGATAGGAGTGCAAAGTTTAGGAAAGGTGGGCAAGTCGGTAAAAATAAATATAAAGTAAAATTGCAAAGGGATGTTTTTCAACACTCAATGCAAGTTATCACAAGGCAGCAAGAACAAAAAAACAAAAACAAAAACAACAGTCCCAGACCACAGCGGGGCAACACACAGTCCCTCAATAAAATTGCACGTTAAGATAAATTTGCAGGTGCCAAAAACAAAATTGCACAGATGGTACAGATAGTACTACTATGAAAAGCACAGAGGGACGAATCAATAGGGGCTCAAGTAGTGCCGAATTATCGTAGTAGCAAAAGTAGCTACATATGTAGCTACTACGGGCCCCGCACTCTCAAGGGCCCCGCGCTAAATGCTTTCAAGCTATCAATTCCGGTTCAGTGATTCTGCACTTGCTCTATTACTATAGTACTATACCGCCTTCAACTTTTATGAAAGACTGGGTGTTTAAGGTTAGCGATTTGTCGTATTATCTGGCTGGATAGCAAATGAAAAATACAATTACTTTACTATGCAAGTTAAACATTTCTCTTTTAATATGTGTGTTTTCCTTATTTATTTAGGGCCCCTTTATAGCATATGCTACAGGCCCCGCACTAGTTTAATCCGGCACTGGGCTCAAGCTGCGTGTCACCACTGCCATGCCCACGTCCAACCTGGCCAAACGGCAGCACAGTTAGTCAACAAAACGCAAAGGTCACAGCGGCAGCAGGAGCAGCAGCAGCGGCAGCAGCAGCAGCGCTACCTGGTAAATAATAAAACAGTTTTAGAGTTCTTCTGCTTCAAAGTTTACTTTCTCTCGTGGAGTCCAGCGCCCTCCACCCCGGCCACCCCCACCTCACCTCATGCAGTACTTCTCATCGAGCGTGCGCTTCCTCCGAGCAGAGTGGGAGGCTTGCGCCCCGTCGGAGCCGTTCGGGCTCCCCGACTGCGTCATGATCAGCAGGTACGGGAGCCGTCCCTTTTCCTGCGCCATCTTGTACACCTCGATCACTTGCATGTCGTGCCGGACCGGGCCCACCACCCGCCCTTCTGTGCAAGGAGAAAAAAAGCAAAGCTCCACCGTACAGCTTTCGCGAGCGGTCGGAGCAAGTGCGGTCGGTGAGTGGCCACTGTGAGGGCCGCCACAGCGCAGGAGGGGGAGTGGGTGGGGTGGGGTGGGTGGGGGGTTGGCCGTGACCACGCCTGGCCCACACCCGGCTGTCTTTGTCTCCCCAGTGGCGATGTTTACACACCGCACCAGGTGAATCGAGTCGAGGCCGAGTCGACCGAGGGGAGTCCCAGAACCGGTTGGGATGATCGCCACTGGTGTCGGTGTCGAGCTCGTAGCGCGGCTACCATAACAGCTCCCCACGACATGAACACACCCATGCACTCTTATTGTTATTGTAAGCGTTTGGCTGGGAATAGCAAAGCAGTGGAACATTTTTACATTTTTGAGTCTAGTGCGAGTTTAGCTCAGCTGTGGTCTGGCCAGACGGGGCATTCCCCCTGGGGGCGTGCGTTGCACGAACGCGCACGCACTGCGAGTACTCCACCTTCGAAGTGAACTTGCATCCCCGGTTGCGGTACGGTTGAGTCGCTTGGCCAGTGCAAGGAGATCTTGAAACCTTTGTTCGTGGCTGGAGAGGAAGACATGAAACAGAGAGAGAGAACGAGAGAGGGAGAAAAATAGGTAATTATAAACATTATTTTAAATTATAAACATTATTTTTGGATTCCTGCAGTCACGAAAGCGTCGAATCAAGAATTAGAAACATTATTCGGTGGAGGTTGACCGAATGGCTCATTGTTCAGGAGCGCTGGACCGGTACCGCTGAGAGGCCCGGGCACGAATATATAGTGAGTTGATGATAATCATAACTAATTGTATAGAACCGTAATAACATAGACTTTAAACTTTCGTGACTGCAGGAATTCATATTCTTGTTTTTTTCGGTAAAGTCAGGAAGATGGAAAATTAAATTAAAATAAAAGATAATTTAAAAAAAAATTATCTCCGCCTGATGAAGACCGCTTCTGTTGCGATCGAAACGTCGTGGGCTTTTTTTTGCTTTTATTATTTTTATTTCAAATCTGTATTGAGTTAAATTTTATTTTCTTTTATTTGATTTTCAATCTACGTGACTTTACCGAAAGAACTAAGAGCACGTAATAACATGGCCAGCCATTACAAGGCCCGCTGAACAAACGACACGCACCAAGAAAAACTCGAGCGAACGTGATTCACCGGTCTGTCGACTCGGGGCACCAATGACTGCGCCGAAGGGAAACGTCAGCACAACGAACGTTTAAACACGTAGCAGGCTTTCATATTCAATTTTATAAAAGGCTTTCATATTCTTGGTTCTTTCCGTAAAGTCACGTAGAAGGGAAATAATCAAATAATAATCAATAAAATTCTCACGACGTTTCGATTGCAACACAAGCAATCATCATCAGGTGTGAAAACCACAGCAAGAACATTTTTTTTTAAAGTGGCGTTTTATTTTTTCAAATTTGCTTGCTGTTGCAATCGAAACGTCGTGAGAATTGTATTGTTTTATTTTTATTATTTACCTTCTATGTGACTTTACCGAAAGAACCAAGAATATGAATCCCTGCAGTCACGAGAGCTTTAAATCGAAACGTAGCAGGCTTTCACGACCAATATTATTCATAATAAAGTTTTTTGGGTTAAATCGCGTAAGTATAAATGTGTCCTAACCCTATTCTGGAAAATCGCCTGATGATGCTGGATGTAATTACCAGTGAAATGTCATGGTACTACTCAAATTGTAAATGTTGTGGATTTACTCTCAAACACACCGGTGGGCTGAAGGAGTAACTAATTATCGTTTTGTTTACGTGACAAATCCCTTACTAATTGGCTGTTGTCGGGTGGTGGAGGGTTAGGACACATTTATACCAACGCGATCTAACCCAAAAGTGTTTATTATGGGCACAATGAATGTTGTTCCCGCAGTAACAAAAAAAACGAGGCAGATACAGACGAGACGGGGTGAAGATCTGAGCCAAAAGCAACGAAGGGAGGCAACTCCCCAATGTTTGTGGTTTGTGAATCCGATCGAAGACCCACTCGTGTGCGTGCCCTGCCGTCGACTCTGTACCGTTATGACCCTGCATCGCATTTTAATTGAACTCCGCGTTGAATCTTTTCATCGCTCGTTGCGTCGCACTGTTATTGACCGTTTCCGTCGCTTATCCATTCCTGTTTTGCTGTATGGTATTTGTGAAGGGGTGCGACACCGAATAAAGATCGATCGATCGATGGGGTCCATCTAAAGAAGCACGCTACGAGCGTTTACGACACAAAGCACGTAGACAATTGTGAGTGACTGCACGCAAGCTAACATTGGATTCAAAACTAAAATAAAAACTAAACTTAAGCTATTTTTATTTTCGCAGGTAAAAGTGACCTGGCCACAAACGATAGCTCAATGAAGTGCTTTTATCGTGTGAAAATGCATCGCAGCCAAATACTCCGAAACGCACGTCGATTCTCAATGTGGACGGGAAAAAAGCATGCAAACTCCAAATATACAGCAGGCATCGTCAGGTTCGGAATCAAATCCACGACCACCTGCATACCAGGCGAGGGAGATAACCTCGCCACCCGAGCGCCTCAATGTAAAAAGGGGAACGTATGGTTGGCTATGTATGGTGCGAAAGAAGTTCAACACACACACACACATTTCCATGTATTCATGGCACCACAGTGTGGTGTTATCGACAAGATGCGTCGAGTTTCCGTTGCTGGCGGTGAGGGTGTGCGAGCTGGCCTTACATGAATCCTGCAGCCAGGCCTGCACCGTGTCGGTGACGTTGAACGCGAGTAGCTCCTCCTCCCCTCCCGTCTGCACCACTTGGCTCGACACAAAGCGCTGAGTCAGGTTGTCTGGACCCGGGCCAGGCAGCAGCTGTCACGGGCACAGGGGTGAACGCGAGCCAATGATGCACGACGTCGAGGTGAGTGTGAGTCAATGGAAAGCGACGTCAGGGTGAGCGGGAGCCAATGGCGTGCGACGTCAAGGCGAGTGTGAGCCAATGACGCGTGACGTCATGGTGGCCGGGAGCCAATGGCGCGCGACGTCAAGATGAGCGAAAGCCAATGACGCGCGAGGTCGATGTGAGCGCCAAGGTGACCGTAAGCCAATGTCGCAAGACGTCAAGGTGAGCGAGAGCCAATGACGCGCAACGTCGAGGTGACCGCGAGCCAATGGCGCGCGACGTCGAGGTAGCCGGGAGCCAATGACTCGCGACGTCGAGGTGAGCGCGCGCCGGTGCAGACGGTCGGGACACCGCAGGCCCTCGCCTCCTGCCGAGGGATCGATCGATCGACCGGTCGTGGTGAGCCCGGCCGCCGCTCGCCGAGCGTCGGGAGCCGTCCCACCTGGTAGAGCTCGATTCGCTGCTCGGGGAGCGTCGCCTCGGGGTTGGGCGTCCTCAGCAGGCGCAGCTCGGCCGACACGTAGCGCACGTCGAAGGTCAGCGCGCTGACGTCGAACTCGAACGTCCCCCTCGAGTCTGAGCGGCAGGACGGGGCACGGACGGGTTACGGTCACGATTCGTGCCCTTCCCGATCGACAACGGTCAAGTCGGGAGAATCTGAAAATCGGAGGGCCCTGGGTGCTCAAAAGGACGAATTCCGGCATCGATCCTGGGGGTGTGACGTCAGCAGATGATGTCACACTCCTGGATCAGTCTGGACACGTGTAGAGTATTGTACACTGCATCAAAAACATGTAATTCTATACATTTACCGTACGAGTTATATTTGACAATCGAATACACGAATCGCATTTTAGACTGCAAATGCTTCCCGTTTGCTGTTTGGGTTGATGTCGGGGAACGTCAAACAACACAAGGAGGGGTGGTGGGGCCTCATATTAGGCAAACCGTGAACCCAACCCCAAGTTTCCCCCATTTGCCTTCGAGTTTGCACATCGCGGATTTTCCGAATGCGGCCATTTTCAAGAACGTGACCCCATCCGCCCTGCCGCGACGGGCGAGTGATCACTGAAGTCTCGGGATTTGGGGCGAGGGTGCCAGGCGCTGTAAGCCTGGGCAGCGCCGTGGTGACAAGATAAGGAGGCACACGGTGGCGAGAAGATGTTAACTAGCTCGCCTGGTGCACATGAGGTCGTGGGTCCGATCCCGACCCTGACGTCTGTTCTATTTGGGGAGTTTGCGGTGGCAATCTCTCCCCGTGGTCGCGTGGATTTCTTTCTCCCGGGGCCCTCCGGTAGTTTTCTCGCTCCACATTTACAAACAACGTCACGCTTTTAAGAGCACTTGGACGCTGCTATGAATGTCCACGCGACGATAAGCAAACTTCGTCGAGCTGTCATTTATCGACGGCCAGGTCGCTTGCGAAACAACAGCTAGGTACTCTTTGGTTCTTTCGGTAAAGTCACGTGGGTATAAAATAAAATAAATCACGACGTTTCGGGCGCAACACAAGCGTCGTGTTTTATTTTATTTTATACCTACGTGACTTTACCGAAAGAACCAGAGAGTATGGATTCTTGCGGTAACATAGAAATCGTTTTTGTCGTAGTTAAGTTTAGCGAGAGGCCAGAGATTGTCCGCGAAGCGTTGGATTCCTGAGGCTGCACGGTGCTCTCTCTGCGCTGTGCCCCGGCATGCTTGGGGTTTTGTTAACTCCACTCCCGACAGCCCCGTTTCCTCCCACTCTCTTACAATAACAAAAATGATCGAACTAAGGTCACACTCAACACATTTGTGAAGAACACTGTCTTAAAATATTTATTTTGTTGTTGTTGTTGTTGTAATATATGACGTTTTAGGAAAAGGTCCTCAGCCCTCCTTGATAGCAACATGATGTAAAGTGCGCTATGAAACTATGACGCGAAAATAACTTTTTAAAATATTTTATGAAGGGGTCATTGCCCGATTGTGTTCGTTTTGCCGTTGTTGTTGTCGATGCTTGCACACCGCCGCTGACGCAGTAGCAGCATCGCCAGATACATCGTTTACTCGTTCATGTGGAAAGCGACCAAACAACCCAGCACAGGACCCCCCTGAAAAAAAACATCTTGAGACTCATCAAGGCTGTTCTTGGGGGCGTAAAAGGCTTTGTTTTTTTTAACACGATGATGCTGCAAAGGGATCTATTTAACGATATATTTACATCCGATACTCCCACTGAGTTAATTTACCCTCCAATGGAGACACTCAATGAGCACAATACGATATCAACATTTACACACATGCCAAAAAAAATCACGTTCATTTCTTAACAGATTTTTAACCCATGCTGTATTGTACGATCTTTTCCATAATAGAGTTTTTTTGGGAGGAGGGGTTAGATCGTGTAAATATAACCACCACCACCTGGCACATGAACAGAAAATGCCAACTCGTTACCTGTACAGCACACCGGGTGTGTTGGGGAGTGAACCCACAACATTTACAAACCGAGTACGACGTTTCGCCAGTAATTACAACCAGCATCATCAGGCTACAGCCAGATTTGTGGAGACAGGAGGACAGAACAAATCTGGCTGTCGCCTGATGATGCTGGTCGTGATCACTGGTGAAACGTCGTACTCTGATTGTAAACGTTGGGGATTTGCTCTCCATCACACCGGTGTGCTGTACTGGTGACGAATTGGCACGTTCTGTTTACGTGACAAACCTCACTAATTGGCTGTGTTGGGTGGTGGTGGGTTTAACGACACATTTATATTTACGTGATCTAACGCGAACAAAAAAACACTATTATTGATAATGTTGGTCACGAAAGCCTACGTGTTAAATTGTACGATCTGTAATGGTAGCCAGATGGCTCGGTGGTTACAGCTCATTATGCATTGCGTTCCATTTCAACAGTGGTGGTCCCTGTCAACTGGTGGTCCTGGTCAAGAGAGCTGCTTTAGCTTCAAAGGTGCCTCAGCAACCAAGTAATGAGAATATTAATATATCCTGGAGGAATCCGATCAGCTATGAAGCTATTTTTCACAGGCGTCCAGTAGGGGCACAGGGTAAGAACGTTACAACAGTGACACACAAACATGATAGTAGTGTAAAGTACAAGGCAGGTAAACAAATCACCCAGACACAAACAAATGCAAAACACTAAACCATCTCCATCCTACCATGCAAAGCACACCGAGGTATTAACTTATTTTTCAGAAGCGACCTGGCCACAAATCATAGCTCAACAAAGCGGCCCATCATTTGGACATTTATAGCGGCAAAATAATCTAAACAGCCTAAACGTATTTCATAAAGTCTGAAGTCTTGGGTCCGGAGACTTTTGAGATCATAATCGGTGTTCTTTTATTTAGGACTGGAGGAGGAATCGACAATGAGCCATCTATGAAACTATTTTTTTTTACAGATGTCCGGTTGTGTGGGAGGTGGGGGGGAAGCTGGGGGTCAGAAAGTTACAAAAACACATTTTTTTAAACCTACAGAAGGAGTACAAAGTCTAGGAAATGTAAAGCAGGTCTCTTTGGCAGGGGGCGAGTCTCTCCATGGGAATGACCGTTTGTCAATTCCCGCCGCTATATGGGTACTCATTTTGTCGACGCCGGGAGGAGGGAAAGATGATGGTATGAGTCACTACCCCCCTCCCCCCCTACCAAACCAGGGTTTGAGCTCGCAAACTCACCGAATGCGAGCCGCTCGCTCAACCGCTGAGCCACTTGGGCCAGTTACGTGACGCATTATCTTCGATAGAAATGTATTGACATTACGAAAAAATAAAACACTTGCTTTAAAGTCTGGATTTCTTCACCGTAACGCTTGGCTCACACCCACCTCCTGCCAGGATTTGCGTGAACACTCTTGAGTTTGATATCTATGCGAGCGAGGGAGGGAGGGAGTGCTCATGCGTAGAGAATTTGGCTCTCGGTTCAATCCTTGCCAGACACGGAATTGTCATCAGTGAGGGAGGCATGATCGGGGGGGGTGGGCCCTATTTTTCCCACGCGATGTTGCTCGTAAAGCTGCTAGAGTCGGCTTGGGAGTCGGGATTATCTGCGTGAGGCGCTTAGCACTGGAGCACAAGGTGCGCCCTTATCCGTGACGAGCCGAAATTATTGTCCACCCTTTGTTGCTATATTCCTGCAATGACTCCGGCACATCAGGTGAATTGAAAGGGGTGCGAGAAGCTCGATCTTCCACGAGCGTGCGTTCGCCACAACTTCCACTGTCTACAGCGCCCAGAGCCACGTCCGCTCTTCCTTCCTCATCTCGACCCTCCTAGCTCTCTCCTCCCAGCCCTCTCTCACTTTGCAGAAATCATCGCCGACCTCTCCCGTTTCCGCCCTCAAAAACCGATCCTCTTGTCACTCGTTCTCGTTCCCGCCCTTTCCCTTCAAATCCTCTCCACCCCATCGCTTCTCTGCTGCCTTCCCCACTCGCAAACCCCTTCACCTCCTCCCATTTGCCCCGCGCGCCTTCCGACCCCTCGCTTTGCGCGCCGGGCGGTGACGTCGATTCGCCTCCCTCCGCCAACGGCGGGTGATGTCTTCTTCGGTTTAACACGTGCGCTTTCGCGACCAACATCTTCCATGATAGAGGGGTTCTTTTTTTCTGGGTCAGAATGTATAAAGTTTTCTTCGCGGGTGCGCTCCTTCAGCCAATGGGGAGCCACGTTGCTCGTCGGCTCCGCGCTCCGCGCCATGCATCACGGACGCGCGCCGTGTCTGCCCTCGTCTCCGGTGGTGCAGGTCAGTCCTCTGTATATATTCCCATGAACGGCTTTGTGCCAATGAGACGCAGCACCACGAGGGCGAGTGAGGCGAGATTATTGCGGCATGGCCGAAAATAATTCGCCCAGCAGCGTTCCAGACCGTTTCCGGCTGAAATTAGGCGGCTGATAAGAGGTCATTTGGAGAGAGCGTGGCTTCATCTTGATTTTTAACGGAAAAAAAACTTCCTTGAGGTAAACATATACAAGGCAAAGATCCCCCGTATAACCAGCGCTACGCCTGGCCACCTTTGTCTCCCCGGTCGCAATGTTCATACACCACAGCAGGTACTTATTTGAGGCTGAGTCGACCTAGGGGGAGGCCCAGGGCCAGTGCAGATAATCGTCACCGGTGTTGGCCGTGAGCAGGAATTGAACCCGGGTTGCCGGGTTCGTCATGCAGCGTAGCGCAAACTGCTCCGCCGCTGAAACATGTATACATGCACACATTGGGAATGGAAGGCGTTCGAGAGGACGTGCTATCGGGGAGATGGAGCGATGAAATCAATTCATCTTCAAAAGGCCGAATATGTGAACGTCGGTCAAATCTGCAAATGGCGATTAAAAAAATCCCATCGTCGTCACCATCATCATCATCGCAATGGAAAACTGAAGAAGTTCATTATGGTCCTTTTTGGGTCAAATATAAATTTGAACAAATGTGACCCACCGACAAACCGCCTCCGAGGCAGACTGTTGCAGCAGTGAGCATTGGTGACTATACCGCGCCGATGAGCCCCAATAAGGACGGTACCAGTTCACAGTTGTCTGTCGCCTGCTGCTTTCGGCCACATTTTGCTCTGAT